GGCCACCCCCACCCCCCTGGGGGCACCCACACCCTCCTTGGGGCAGCCACAGCCTCCCTGAGGCAGCAGCAGGGCAGGAGAGGAGGTACCAATTTGCCCCAAGCAGAGCCAAACCCTTTCCTGGTGCCAATCCAAGGCCGAGCTTTCACTATCCAAACCAAAGGCTCATTTGAGTGCCCATAGGCAAATCCCAAACTTCCTTCAGGATGGACCCTGATCCCACCTGTGCTAAGCAAATTTTGGGGCACACCTCAAACAACAACTGCCCCTAGAGCTCGGCCCCTTTCCCCCTCGACCCACTCACCTTGTCGATGAAGGAGGCAAATTTGTTGTTGAGGCTCTTGATCTGCTCCTTCTCCTCCTTCCTCACCCGCTGGATGTTGGAGTCAAACTCCAGGTTCATGGGGGTCAGGAGGCTCTGGTTGATGGTAACTTCTTGGATCCCTCCAGGGGTGATCCCTCCAGCAAATCCTGCCCCCCCATAGCCGAACCCGGAGCGGGAGCTGTAGGAGATCCTCTTGTTGGCAGAGCCGATGCCGTAGAGGCTGGGGCCTCCGACACGGCTGAGGCCGGAGCCGCCCCCGAGGCCTCGTGTGGAGGACACAGTGCTGACCCTCACTTGGCTGAGTGCTGGGACAGCGGCAGAGCGAGAGCTGAAGCTCACGGAGCGAGACATGATTCCTGCGAGGGGCTCTGGGTTATCCCTCCCTTTTCTTTTCCAAAGAAACAGCACCCGGAGCAGAGGGAAGTGAGGGAAAAGTCCTCTGCGCTGGCCCTTTTATCCCTTGGGAGAGTTGGGCTTGGCCCAAGGGCAGAGAGGGATCGTTTTACTGCTGGGTGTGCCTGGCTGCATTCCCAGCCTCCCTCCACCTGCAGCACAGTGACAGGGAAGGGACAGGACACAGCTGGGCCACAGCCCAAGGGTCCCTCACCTGGGCACCTGGGCAGGACAGCCCTGCGCTCCTCAGACAGAGCTCTGAGCCCTTCCTAAGGTTTCTCTGAGCCCAGACAGACATTGGAATGAGCAGAGAGCAAATACACATCGATTTCCAGCTGCTCTGGGCAGGTTCTCACCCCCCTGAGCAGATAAGAGGTCTCAGCTCTGTGCCAACTCATTCCTTGATTCCATCTCCTCTGCCACATGGGCAGGACAATCCTGAGCTCCTCAGGGCTCAGAGCTACACCAGGAGAGCTCTGGTCCCTTTTCCTAAAAACCTTTTCCTAAGGTTTATCCATGCCCAAACAGACATTGGAATGAGGAGGGAGGGAATAAGTATTGATTTCCAGCTGCTCTGGGCAGGTTCTCCCCCCCAGCAGATAAGAGGTCTCAGCTCTGTGCCAACTCATTCTTTGATTCCCTCTGCCACATGGGCAGGTTCTCCCCTGGGCTCAGAGCTACACCAGGAGATCTCTGATCCCTTTTCCCAAGGCCTCTCCGGTCCCAAAGGGACATTGGAATGAGCAGAGAGGGAATACACATCGATTTCCAGCTGCTCTGGGCAGGATTTCCCCTGGGAACAGACACCAAGTAGATAAGAGGTCTCAGCTCTGTGCCAACTCCAACCTGTGTCTCCCTCTCCTCTGGCACGTGGGCAGGACAATCCTGAGCTCCTCAGAGCTACACCAGGAGAGCTCTGAGCCCTTTTCCCAAGGCTTCTCTGGGCCCAAACAGACATTGGAATGAGGAGGGAGGGAATAAGTATTGATTTCTAGCTGCTCTGGGCAGGTTCTCACCCCCAGTAGATAAGAGGTCTCAGCTCTGTGCCAACTCCAACCTGTGTCTCCCTCGCCTCTACCACTTAGGCAGGACAATCCTGAGCTCCTCAGGGCTCTGAGCTATACCAGGAGAGCTCTGAGCCCGTTTCCTAAGGCCTCTCCATGCCCAAATTGCCATTGGAATGAGCAGAGAGGGAACACCCATGGATTTTCACTGCTCTGGGCAGGTTCTCACCCCCCACCCCAAGCAGATAAGAGGTCTCAGCTCTGTGCCAACTCATTCTTTGATTCCATCTCCTCTGCCACATGGGCAGGACAATCCTGAGCTCCTCAGAGAGAGCTCTGATCTCTTTTCCTAGTTTCTCTGTGCCCAAATTGCCATTGGAATGAGCAGAGAGGGAACACCCATGGATTTTCACTGCTCTGGGAAGGTTCTCCCCCCCACTCCAAGCAGATAAGAAAGAGGTCTCAGCTCTGTGCCAACTCCAACCTGGTTTAATATCAACCAAACCTGAGCTCCAACCTTGGGCACACACTGTGTCTTGCCAGCAGCACCCACAGCTTTCTCTTCTCCCTCCTCTTCATCCTGAAAATCCACCCGAGACTCGTTATTCCATCAAAGGAGAGAGAGATTTAAATCCAGCTTCATTTTCTGGGTTTCTGCTCAAATTTCGGGGTGGTTTAAGAAGGAAAAGAAGAGAAATAAATGAGGTTTAAGAAGGAAAAGGAGAGAAAAAAATGAAGGTTTTTTGGAGAGGGGAAAACAAAAAATCTCTTTGCTGTCAGGTCGTAAATTCTCCAGGGAATTTCAAAGGGGGAACGTGTCAGCCTGGAGGGAGATAAGGGGGTTGGAAACTCTGGCTCAGCCTGGGCAAAATCCAGCCTGGCTGCTCTGGGAGGGGGAGAAGGGCTCAGGTAACAGGGGGAAATTCCTTTGTAAGGACAAAAAAAAAAGAGAATTTGAGCCTGGTGGGAGGGGGAGGAGGATTCCTCCTGCGCCTGCAAAGCTGCTTGGGATTCCAGGAGGGAAAAAAAAAAAAAAATCAACCCGTGGAGTGTTAAACGAGTGGGGGATGCTCATCCCTCTGTGCCAGAGCTGGGGGAGACAGGACAGGGATCGTTCCAGCCACAAACAGCTGGAAACAGGGAAATTCCAGGTCTTGGGACAGCTCTGGGATGTGGGAGGAAAGAGGGAATGGAGTGGGATGTGGAATTTAGGGTCAGGCAGGAGCTCCCTGACAATTCCTGGGTGGAATCAGGTTGGATTCCAGCCTGGATCAGCAGGCTCTTCTACACAGTACAAGAGGCACAGGAAGAGCAATCCAGGCTGGGACATCCAGGGAGGGAAATCCAGGGAAGGAAATCCAGGGAAGGAAATCCAGGGAAGGAAATCCAGGGAAGGAAATCCAGGGAAGGAAATCCAGGGAAGGAAATCCAGGGAAGGAAATCCAGGGAAGGAAATCCAGGGAAGGAAATCCAGGGAAGGAAATCCAGGGAAGGAAATCCAGGGAGGGAAATCCAGGGAGGGAAATCCAGGCTGGGACATCCAGGGAGGGAAATCCAGGGAAGGAAATCCTAACCTGCTGTGGGATAAATTGCTGCTCCCAATAGCCTCTGTGAATCCAAGTCCATCCCAAGAGCTTCACCTCTCCCTGCTCAGCTCTATCCATCCCCAAATCCATCCCAAATCCCTCTCCTAATCCCACTTTGGACCCCAATCCATTCCAAGAACTCCACTTGACCCTGCTCAGCTCTATCCAACCCCAAATCCCACTTTGAATCCCAATCCATCCTAAGAGCTTCCCCTCACCCTGCTCAGCTCTATCCATCCCCAAATCCATCCCAAATCCCTCTTTGAATCCTAATCCATCCCAAAAGATCCACTTGATCCTTCTCAGCTCTGTCCATCCCTAAATCCATCCCAAATCCTCTCCTAATCCCCCTTTGAATCCCAATCCATCCCAAGAGCTTCCCCTCACCCTGCTCAGCTCTATCCATCCCCAAATCCCTCTCCTGATCCCACTTTCACCCCCTCAGCACCTCTGGGCTGAGCCTGTTTCCATCCAGACTCCAACGTTCCCTCCCTATCCCGTGAGGACACGCAGGACAACCCTCACTCCCTCCCTGATCCACCTGCCCAGCTCCCAGTTTCCCCCTTTGACTGGGACACCTTCCAGTCCCAGCCCAGCTGGGGCAGGAGGAGGCCCCGAGCTGTGCCCAGCACTGTTTGTGTCTCGTTGTCATGGCAAACAGGGAAGGAGTTTCACAACTGCTCCGACCGGTTCCAAGGGAATGACCCCATGGAATGAGGGAGAACAAAGGACACCATTGACCAGCCAAACACTCCCCGGGAAGGGAATTCTCAGCCCAACGTGCTCAGGGTCACATTCCCTGCACAGCCAAACCCCTCTGAGGGGGAAATCCTTCCACAAATCCTTGGAAAACCAAGCAAAGTTAGAAAAAGAGGGAGAAAAGTTTCTCCCCCCTCCCCGAAAAAAATGGGAAAGCAAAGCAAACTTGGTTCTGAGGAGGAAGAAATCTCAGCAAGGGGAGGGGAAAAATGTGTGGGGATAACAAGTTCTTGGGGTGTGTCCATGTCTTCCATGGATGTTCCTAGAGTGTTAAAGGGTTGTGATGGAGCTTAGAGATCATCCAGTGCCAAAATCCTGCCCTGGGCAGGGACAACTCCCACCAGAGCAGGTTGGGCAAGGCTTGGGACAACCTGGAATGGACAGTGACAGGGTTGGAGTGCCCACAACCTCCTTGGGGCAACCACAACGGGACATCCACAGCCTCCTTGGGGCAACCACAACCTCCTGGGACAACCCAGCTCCTCCTTCCAGAACTTAATTACCTCCATTGATCCCAATTTCCTCCTCCTCCCCAAACCCTGGGAACTACTTTTGAGGGAACTTGTTCTCTTTCTGTCCCAGACACCATCAGGACTTGACCTTGCTGATCCTTCCAGGTCCCACCAAAGCTTCTCCACGACTTGAGGAGTATCTGAGCCACGTTGGGAGGAGTTGTCACTTATCAGGAGTTTATGGGTTTGCTGAGTCTCATTTCCTGTCTCACTTGGGCTGCAAAGTCAACATGAGGATGATGAGGATGATGATGCAACTCTACAAGTTTGAGCCTTGACGCCAGGGAAGTGTCTTCTCCAGACAGGAGACAGTTGGGGCCAAAGGTTGATGTCTCCTCCCTCCTGCTGCAACTCAGGGCCTGTGTCTCTTGGCTGTGGTTTATTTGGGGGCTCGTTAGCTGTGGTTAATTGGGGTCTCCTTGGCTGTGGTTTCTTTGGGGTCTCCTTGGCTGTGGTTTAATTGGTGTCTCCTTGGCTGTGGTTTAACTGGTGTCTCATTAGCTGTGGTTAATTGGTGTCTCCTTGGCTGTGGTTTAACTGGTGTCTCATTAGCTGTGGTTCATTGGTGTCTCCTTGGCTGTGGTTTAACTGGTGTCTCATTAGCTGTGGTTCATTGGTGTCTCCTTGGCTGTGGTTTAACTGGTGTCTCATTAGCTGTGGTTCATTGGTGTCTCCTTGGCTGTGGTTTAACTGGTGTCTCATTAGCTGTGGTTAATTGGTGTCTCCTTGGCTGTGGTTTCTTTGGGGACCTCACTCAGGTTTCTGCCCCTGCTCGGTCCCCAAGCACTGAGATGTCTCTGCTGAGCTCTGATTGCCTCGTTCCTGGGGTCATGGGATGGGTTGGGTTGGAAGGAGCTGAAGGATCATCCCATCCCACCTCCTGCCATGGGCAGGGACATCTCCCACCAGCCCAGGTGGCTCCAAGCCCTGTCCCACCTGGCTGGAACACTGAGGTTGCCCCAAGGAAGTTGTGGACACCCCAAGAATGATCCAAGTGGGTTCCCCCTTGGGTCACTTGGACTGTCCCTTGCCCAGGAGGTTTTCCTCTTGTCCAGAAGTTCTCCACCTTGCCCAGGAGGACAAGGGTTGACCCAAGGCCATTCCCCCTTGCCCAAGAGTGTCCCACCTTGCCCAGTGATTTCCCCCTTGCCCAGAAGGACAAGACCTGACCCAAGGACCTGTTCCCTTGGGGTGTTTCCCACACCCAACTGCATCAGCTGAAGACACTCAAGGATGAGTCTCTGAAGGTCCTTCCTGACGCAGCTCCAACCTGTGATGCCACAGCCCAACCTGGGCAAGGTGCAGGAGCAGCAGAGCCAAGGACTGTGCCCTTGGGGCCCACCCTGAGGCTCCAGGAGCTCCACCCAGCTGAGTCACTCCACAGCACCTCAAACAACTCTCCTTTTACGAGGCTTTTATTGTGCTGGTAAACCCTGAGCAGACACCTCATCTCTGCCCCACTGGGGCCAAACCTGCTCCCTGGGGCTGTTCCCTCCAGGAAACTCAGTTCCAAGAACCAACTCCAACAGACCTTGGATTCAGCCCCTCCTACCTGTCTCCTGTCCCCCCACAAAGCTGTTTCACTTCAACGTTTCCAGCCTCAAGACTGAGGCTCAACCATGAGTGAGTTGAAGCTTCCAAGGGTGATCCCAAGGGAAGATGGAACCTCCCAACCTTCTCCTCTCATCTTCCCCCAGGAATCAGCAGTGCCAGGAGGAGCAAAGGGCAGGATTGTAGTCCCGGAGGTGCTGAGGGACCCAACCCAGGGAGGGGCAGGGACTGTCCTGGGTGAGGACACATGGAGATGACAAGAACCATGGACATCATCCTTATCTTCAGCTGCTCAGGACCTCAGTGAGGCTGAGGGAGGGCAGGGAAGGACTCCAGGAGGGATGAGCAGGTCTAGGAGGGCATGGAGCAGAGGCCACACACAGCTCCAGGGAATGTTCTTCAGGCTCATCTTCTCCCCACACTCATCTGTAGTCCAGAACCTCCTCCAGTCCCACCTGAACACCAAAGCTCCTCCAGTCCCCCTGAAGACCGAAACCTCCTCCAGTCCCACCTGAACACCAAAACCTCCTCCAGTCCCACCTGAACACCAAAGCTCCTCAAGTCCCACCTGAGCACCAAAACCTCCTCCAGTTCCACCTGAACACCAAAGGTCCTCCAGCCATGACCTCCTCCAGTCTCATCTTCTTCCCATACTCATCTGAACCCCAAAACCTTCCAGTGCCTGAAGGAGCTCCAGGAGAGCTGGAGAAGGATTTGGGATAAGAGACGGAGGGACAGGATGCAGGGAATGGTTTCCTGCTGGAAGAGGACAGGGATAGACGGGATGTTGGGAAGGAATTCCTCCCTGGGAGGGTGGTGAGGGGTTGGGATGGATTTTCCAGGGGATTTTCCATCCCTGGGAGTGTCCAAGACGACGTTGGATGGGGCTTGGAGCCACCTGGGCTGGTGGGAGATGTCCCTGCCCATGGATGTGGTGGGTTGGGATGGGATTTAACCTCCTTCCCACTCAACCCATCCCTTGACTCCACTCTACGACGTCTGGGAATGACGTTGGGGCAGGTCCAACACTTCTGAACTGTTTCCCCATCCCAAGCTGAGCAGGAAGGGAAGCCCCAGGACCATCCCAAGCTCAGTCACCTCACCACCTCTTCCTTAGCACAGGGAGGTGATTTTATTGGGTTTTTATTTCTTTCCATGGCTGAGATTTCCTGGAAAGGACATGAGCCGCAGGTCGGGATGGAGCTGCAGACTGTGCTGGAGTGAGGGAGAGGTGGACACGTCCTGTCCTGCCTTCCCAGCCCTGCAGAATTCCTGCAGGGTGACTCGACTCCGCAGGTTGGGTCTGGGCTCCAGAGGGAAGGGAGAGGGAGTGGAGCTGGGCAGGAACAGAGAGTGGAGAGGGAGGGGGAGAGGGAATACTGGGAGGGGAGGGAGAGGGGAGGGGGGGAGGGGGAGAAGGGAGAGGGGAGAAGGAAGGGAAGGAATGAGAGAAGGGAGAGGGAATAAAAGAGGGGATAAAGGATAAAGGAGGGGGGAGAAGGGATAAGGGAGGGGAGAGGAAAATAAGGGAGGGGATAGAAGGGGATAAGGGAGGGGAGAGAAGGGAGAGGGGAGAAGGGAGGGAAGGAATGAGAGAAGGGAGAGGGAATAAAAGAGGGGAGAAAGGATAAAGGAGGGGGGAGAAGGGATAAGGGAGGGGAGAAGGGATAAGGGAGGGGAGAGAGAATAATGGAGGGGAGAAGGGATAAGAGAGGGAAAGAATAAGAGAGAAGGGAGAGGGAATAAGGGAGAGGGAATAAGAGGGGGGAAGGGATAAGGGAGAGGGGAGAAGGAAGATAGGGATGGGAGATGGACACAGGATGGGAGGAGGACACAGGGATGGGACAAGGAGGACACCCCAGACTTGTCCCCCTCTCCCATCTAGACCCTTCCAACCCCCAGGATCTCCCACCCTGGACCCCCCAGGACCACTGGGATCACCTCCAGCCCCTCCAACCTTGGCCTGCACCCCCCAAGCTCCTCCTTCCACCTCACCCTTCTCCACCTCCATCTATTTCCAGCCCTTCTCCAGCCAAAACCAGCGCTGGGGCTGGAGAGGAGCCAGGAGCTGCTCCCAAACTCCTCCAGCTGCCAAGTCCCAGCTCGGAGCTGTGCTCGGCTCATCCTCCGGAGCTCAGCTCCTCTGCCCTCCTCCCGTACCCTGGGAAGGGTTTGGGCTTTGCCTCTGCCTTTCCCAGGACACAAACAAACTCCGCAGAGAGGAGGGAAGAGCCAGAGGAGACGATGAGCAACCAGATCCCAAAACAACAGGTCGAGCTGGATTGCAGCAAGGGTTCCACCCTCTTCTTCTTCCTCCTCCTTCTCCTCCTTCTCCTCCCGTGCTCAGCCCCAGGAACAGGTGCTTGGGATTCTCCAGCCGAGGCAGGAGGAGTTGGGAATTCTGCTGTCCCAGCTGGGCCGTGGTTCTCCTTCCCACCAGGCAGCAGCTGGAGGAGGAGGAGACCTTCATCTCCTGCTCTCTTCCCACCTCCTCCTCTTCCTCCACCTCCTTCTTCTACCTCCAGCTCTTCCTCCACCTCCTTCCCCTTTCCCACCTCTTTCCCCTTTCCCAATTCCTTCTCTTTTTCCACTTCCTTCTTTTCTCACCTTCTTCCACCTCCTCTTTTCCCATCTCTTTCCCCTTTCCCACCTCCTTCTCCTTCCCCATCTCCTTCTCTTTTCCCACCTCCTTCTCTTTTCCCGCCTCTTTTTCCTACCTCCTTCTTCCACCTCCTTCTCCTTTTCCCACCTCCTTTTCCTTCTCCACCTCCTTCCCCTTTCCCATCTCTTTTCCCACCTCCTTCCCCTTTCCCATCTCCTCTTTTCCCATCTCCTCTTTTCCCACCTCCTTCTCCTTTCCCGTTTCCTCTTTTCCCACCTCCTTTTCCCACCTCCTTCTCCTTTCCCACCTCCTTTCCCACCCCTTTCCCCTCCCCCTGGACCTTCCCAACCACAAGCTGAGCATGACCAGCCCTTGCCAAACTTTTTCCAGAGGCTCCTTCTCGTGCTGGGAGGTGTCAGGGAAGATGAGCAGAGGAGGAGAAGGGAGTGACTCAGCCCTGGAGCTCCTCGGCCGCTGCAGCCCCACCGAGGTGGCCACCAACAGCTACCTGGGCAAGCTCCAAGGGGATGGAGGCCACCAGTGCTCTCCCTACTCCTCCTTCTCCGTGGCTGGGAGGTTCCCGGCCCCTATGCACCTGGACGTGGACACAGAGTTCCAGGCCATGAGGGAGCAGGAGAAGGAGGACATTAAACTGCTCAACAACCAGTTTGTCACCCTCATCGAGAAGGTAAGGAGGGTAGGGAGGTGGGACAAGGTGGGACAAGGGGATTGGAGGTGGTTGAATGTGGTTGGAGGTGGTCCAAGGGGGTTGGAGGTAGTCCAGGGTGGTTGAAGATGGTCCAAGGTGATTGGAGGGGGCTGAAGGTGATCCAAGGTGGTTGGAGATGGTCCAAGGTGGTCCAAAGTGCTTGAAGATGGTCCAAGGTTGTCCAAGGTGCTCGAAGGTGGTCCAAGGGGACAAGGCTGGTGGTGAGGACACAGGTTCTCAGGAGACCTGTCAAGACCTTCAGCCAAACCCTTCCAGGCTTGGAATCCTAGGCCAATCACCCAATGGGAGTCCAACCTCGGGAGGTCCTGAGGGACCCACAGAGGACCAGGAGGTCCTGGGCAGAATCATGGAGGGAAGAGGTGGCCAAAAAGCCATGGGTGGTGACACCAACCCAGGCAGCAGCTCCAACCCCTCTCCAGCTGCTCCAGAGAGGTGGAAACATCTCCATGAAGGTCCAGGAGGACATGGACAGCACAGGTAGAGCCATGGAGAGGACAGGCCTTGGGTCACAGAGTGGACAAACTCTGGAGCAGATGGAGAAGGGTTGGAGCTGCTGCCTGAGAAGTGGAAACTCATCTCCATGAAGGTCCAGGAGGACATGGACAGCCATGAAGAGAAGAGGCCTTAGGTCCTAGAGTGGATAAGGAGCCATAGGTGGTGACACCAACCCAAGCAGCAGCTTCAACCCTTCTCCAGCAAGGTGGAAACTCATCCCCACGTCCACCTCATGACATGGTGGGCAAAGAAAACCTTCCCCACCCACATGGGCAAAGGAGACCTCCTGCCCACCTGTCTCCTCTGTGGCCTGCAGGCTGAGGAGATGAGTGCTCAGCCAAGAAGGTGTTGCTTTCATCTCTCCAGAGCCACGAGAATGGGGTTTTTTTCTCCAAGGAAAACAAGTCCTGGAGCGAGGCAGGAGTTGGGCAGGTCCCAGCAGAGCTCTGATGGTTATCTCCTCCAGGATTGCTTCACCACCAAGTTCCACCAGCTGGGATTGGCTTCTCTTCCCTCTCTGGCAGCAGCTGGAGTCACCTGGGAAGGAGAAAGGAGGTGGAAAACATCTCCCACAGCTTCCAGCCAAAGTGGACAGGGTGGAGTGACCAGAGCTGGGTGGGCAAGGAGAGCCCAGGGATGAACCTACTGGATGGAGAGGAGCTGGGAAGTCTCCAGAAGACCTGGAAGTCTCCAAAAGACCTGGAATTCTAAGGTTCCAAGAGCCCTGGAAGACTCCAAGACCTGGAGGATCCCAACACTCCCATCCCTCCTGCTGGGAAGGCTCCAGAAGACCTGGAAGGCTCCAGGAGACCTGGAAGCTCTGGAGCACAAGTCAAGGCTGAAGGCCCAGGAGAAGCTCTGGTGGCACCTGCACCTTCTGCTCTGACTCATCCCTGGCATGGAAGGAAGGAAACTTGGAGACAACCCAAACGTGACTTGGGCTGGGCCTGGGAGGTAGTAATTAGCTAATTAACGAGGTTGGCCAAGAGCTTTGGAGATGAGGCCTGTCAAGCACCAAGTGTTGCTCCTCAGCTTGGGATTAGGAGGGAAGCAGAAGGATCATCCAGGGTGGGTGGGAAGGTCTGGAGAAGACACAGAGGCCTCACCTGGAGTCTGTAATTACTTTGGGTTTTCTCCAGAGCTTTGGCCAATCCAAGCAGGTCCTGAGTCACGGCTTGGACCATGGTGGAACTTGTCCCAGATCCACAGGGTTGGCTCTCCTTGTGGTCTCTGGGGGAGGAAATGTGACTTCCACCCACCCTGGACATCTCTGTGGGACCTCAGGTGGATTTTGGCTTCACCATGTTGGGCTTGGTTCAACACTTGGACTTTGAGCTCTTAGTGCCACCAACATCTTCAGAACCTCTTCTGAGGATCTCCAGTGCCACCTGTCCTGCCAGGAGCTTTGCTCTGGGCTCTTGGTGCCACCAACATCTCCAGAACGTCTGCAGGAGACATTGGAGACCTTCAGGAGCTTTGCTTTGGGCTCTTGGAGTCACCAACATCTCCAGAACCTCTTCTGAGGGACTCCAGTGCCTCCTTCCCTTCCAGGAGCTTTGTCTTGGGCTCTTGAAGGTCCTCAATGTCTCCTGCCCTCTGGGAGCTTCACCTTGGTGTCCCTAACATCTCCAAACCTTCTTCTCCAGGTGCAGAGCTTGGAGCAACAGAACAAAGTGCTGACCACGAGGTGGAACTTCCTGAAGGACCAGGACAATTCCCACTCGGACTCGGATATCAAAGCCATCTACGACCAGTACATGAGCAAGATGAGCCAAGAGATGAAGACACTCAACTATGAGCAGGAGAACCTTGAGACAGAGCTCACCAAGGTCCTGAGCACCATGGACAACTTCAGGAGCAAGTAGGTCTCCATCTCCATGGCCATGTCATGTCCATCTCCATGTCCAACCTAGTCTGGACAAGTCCAGCCCAGCCCAGTCCAGTCCATCCCAGTGTGGCCCAATCTGGCCCAGTCCAGTTCATCTCATCCCAGTTCGGCCCAGTCTGTCCCAATCCATCCCAGTCTGGCCCAGTCCGGCCCAGTCCAACCCAATCCATCCCAGGCTGTCCCAATCCATCTCAGTCCATCCCAATCCATCCCAGTCTGTCCCAGTCCATTTCTGGTGCTCTCGAGGCTTCCTGGAGTTCCTTGGACCTTCCCCCAGGTGTGACCTGGTGCCTCTCCCACCATGCCCAGGTACGAGGACGAGATTCGTCTCTGCAGCGGAATGGAGTTCACCTTCATGGAGCTCAAGAAGGTCAGTGGGGAGAAGGTCTCACCTGGCTGAGCTCTGGGTGGGCACAGGACAACCTGGAGAGGGTCCAGGCCCAGCCAAGGAGGGTGAGAAGGTCTCAAGGAGAACATTGGAGAGGTGACCACACCCCCAAATTCCACAGAAAACCAAGTTCTAACCTCCTGCAGCTCCACCAAAGCCTCATGGAAGCTCCTGGTGGTCACCCCATTCCTGCAGTTGGGTCTTCCTTGGCCTGGGTGGGGGTGGAGAAGGTCCCACCAGTCTCCAGAGAGGGTTGGGCAGGAGCTCAACCAGTTTGCTTTGGTTCCTGTGGCCTGGACACACCCTGAGCAAATATCTGTGGCTCCACACCAGGTGGAGCTTCAGGAGCTCTGCTGGCCTTGGGGGGAGGAGATGTGGCCTACAAAGCCTCATCAAGGCTAATGAGATGTTTGGCCTCGTTAGAGCAGGAAGGACAACCCTGGGCACCTTTTGTTGGTGGCTCCAAAGATCTCAGGAGGTTTGGCATGAGGAAGGAAAGCTCAGGAGGGTTGGGCCAAGCTTAGCTGGACATTCTCCACCCAACTCAGCTCAGGAACAAGACCAAACCCACCAGAAACCAAAGACCTGCAAGAGGGAAAAGATCTCTGAGAAGCTTCCTGAGATAGCTCAGGAGGAGATGAGAAGGAACCATGGAGTGGGTTGGGGTGGAAGGAGCCTCAAGCTCATCCCATGGGCAGGGAGAACTTCCAAGGTACTCCAAGCCTCATCCAACCTGGCCTGGAACAGTTCCTCCTTGTCCTGTCCCTCCATCCCTTGTCCCAAGTCCTTCTCCAGCTCTCCTGGAGCTCCTTCAGCCACTGGAAGAAGCTCTGAGGTCTCCCTGGAGCTTCTCTTCTCCAGGCTGGACATTCCCAGCTCTTCCATGGGTGAGAAGCTCCAGAATCCTGGAATGGTTTGGGTTGGAAGGACCTCAAAGCTCATCCAGTTCCACCCAGGGACATGTTCCACCAGCTCAGGTGTCTCCAAGCCCCATCCAACCTGAGCTGGAACATTCCAGGGCCATGGAAAGAGCAGGACACTCCTGGGGTAATGAATGCCCCAAACTGGAACCATGGATGAATTCATCCATGATTCCCCTTGTCCATCCCCTCCAGGACCTGGATGTGAGCACCTTGCACCGTACAGAGCTGGAGGTGAAGCTCAAAGGGCTCCAAGAGCTGATGGAGCTGAAGAAAACCATCTATGAGCAGGTGAGGACATGACCCCAGACCAAAAAATTGGGATTTTGGTGGAGAGGGAATTTTCCTGGATTTCCACCCACATTGGAGCTGATCCAGAGAGACTTGAGGGCTCAAGGTAGAACCTCAGAGCTCCTTCCAGTGCCTGAAGGAGCTCCAGGAGAGCTGGAGAAGGACTTGGGACAAGGGATGGAGGGACAGGATGCAGGGAATGGTTTTCTGCTGGAAAAGGGGAGATTTAGATGGGATATTGGGAAGGAATTCCTCGCTGGCAGGGTGGTGAGGAGCTGGGATGGATCTCCCAGAGGATTCTCCATCCCTGGGAGTGTCCAAGGTCAGGTTGGATGAGGCTTGGAGCCACCTGGAATGGTGGGAGATGTCCCTGCCCATGGGATGAGCTTGAAGCTCCTTCCAACCCAACCCATCCCATCCCAACCCAACCCAACCCATCCCACCTTTCTTCCATGACCTCATTCCCATTGTCTCTTGGCTCCTGAGGAACTGGAGGAGCTGCTGACGGAGATCAAGGACATCTCGGTGGTGTTGGGCATCGACAACTCCTGCAGGTTGGACCTCGGGAGGATCGTGGAGGACGTCAGGGCCCAGTACGAAGCTCTGGCTCTGCGGAGCTGGGAGGAGGCTGAAGCTCTCACCAGGAGGAAGGTACCCACCAGGATCCAGATCCATCCAGGAGAAGCTGGGACAGGAGACAGCTCAGCAGCAGGACCAGCAGGGATGGACCTGGTTGGGAATGGAGGGAGGAGGAAGGAGGAGCTCACCTGGACCATCTCCTCCCTCAGGGTTGGGAATGAGGAGCTCCATTGGGTTCTCCATCCTGGAGAAGGTCAAGGAGTTCTCCTTTTCTATGACCAAGGCACTTCGTGCCATGCTCTGCTTGGTGGTTGGTCCTAGGTTGGACTTGATGGTCTCAGAGGACTTTTCCAACCTGGTTGATCCTGGGATTCTGTGGTCCCGGTGGCAGATTGTCCCACTGGAGATGACAATGAGCTTCCACTTCTCCAAAGAGAAAGAATGGGATGAAATCCCAGGGGACAGGGGTGGCCTGGACCTGTCACACTTAGGGGTTTCTCCTCAGGGGTCATGGGATGAGGAGGAACCTCAAATCCTTCTCCACATCTGCTCTATGTCCCCACTTAGATGTTTCTCCTCAAGGGCCATGAGAATCCTTCCAGATTCCTTAGCCTGGAGCTGATTCCCCCTTGGAGGAGTTGCCCAGGTGATCCCAGGTGACCTCCTGCTCACTGTCTCCTGCAGCTGAGCGAGGGCAATGTCCAGTCAGGCACCTATGGTGGTCACCTGCTGGACAGTCGCCGGGAGATCGCTGACCTCAACATCAGGATCCAGAAACTCAGGTCCTGCATCGTGTCCCAGAAGAGCCAGGTGGGTCCTGGGCTGGGGGACAAGGCTCAGGGGTGACCTCACAGCCACCTGACATCTCCACCACCTTCTGCCCCCAGTGCCTGTACCTGGAGGAGAACATCAAGGAGGCTGGAGAACATGGGGAGATGGCCCTCAAGGACGCCAAGGCGAAGCTGGTGGAGCTGGAAGAAGCTCTGCAGAAGTGCAAGGAGGACATGGCTCACCTGGTGAAGGAGTACCAGGAGCTGATGAACATCAAGTTGGCATTGGACGTGGAGATCCTGACCTACAGGAAGCTGATGGAAGGGGAGGAGAACAGGTCAGTTCCTCCTGCCTGGAAGGGATGAAGGTCTTGGCAGGAAGAACCGTGGAATGGTTGGGGTTGGAGGGACCTTAAGGACCATCTAGTCCAACCTCCTCACCATGGGCAGGGACCTTCTACCAGCCCAGCTTGGCCAAAGCCCAAGGTTTGGGTCTGAACAGATTGAGGGGTCCAGAACTTCTCTAGATGATGCTTTGCCCACATGATGACCTTCACGGTCCAACCCAGGACCACGATCATGGTCCAGGATCTCCATGGTCCAGCCCAGGACCACGATGGCTGTTGCTGACCATGATTCCACCACGAACCCAACCCCCATGGGCCCAACCCAACCCTCCACCCCTCTCTGGAGGAGGTCCTAGTGTCCTCACCGTGTCCTTTCCCTCCCAGCATGGAGCAGCCCATTCCCACCATCATCAGTGCTGTCCACGCCAGGCCCAAGCCCAGTAAGTGCTTTGTCCCACCCAACCTGCTCCACCAGAACCTTCTGGATCACATCTAACTTCTCCTCATCCTCCCTCAGTCTCTGCCAGCACCTTGAGGAACTCCAAGCTCTTCGCACGAGGCTCAGGTGAGGTGAAACCGACTCGAGGTGGCCCCAAGTCCTCCAGAAGGTCTAGTGCCACCCTGGGGACACCCAACACTGTCCTCGGTGGTGGGACCAAGCCCAAGCTCATTTCTGTGCTCCTAGGACCCACAGCATGAACATGGACCTGGTGGCACCTTGGAAGCACTTTCTCCTCATCTCCAGCCAGGGATGAAGGTTGAGGACCCATCCAGGCTGTCTCTTGTCTTCACACCCTCCCAGTTCCCACCACAAACTCACCCAGGACTTGAGTGACTTCTCCCATTCCCATGTCCACACCAACATCTCCCTCTCCAGGGCTCCTTCCCATGAGGATTTCTGCTCACACCTCGGAGATCTTCCAGGCAGGAGGGATGAGATGGTCACCTCAGGTCTAGCCCAGGAGACAGAGGTCACTTCTCCTCCTCTCTGCTCTGGGTGGTGATTCCTGAGGTGGCTTTGGCGGGGAGGAAGCATCCCCCATGGTGAGGAGATTCAAGGAGACACTTCTGAGGTGGATTTGTCACTCCTGGGGACAACCTGGACCACCCTGAGGCCAAACTAGACCATCCTGGAGATAAACCAGGTCACCCTGGAGACAGCCTCGGTCATCCTTGGCCACTCCAGGGGGTTTTGGTGGCTTCTCCTTCCTTCCCACCAGAGCTCAGAGGCCTCAAGAGGTTGATGCTCATGTCCCACCTCTTCTCCCACCTGAAGTCATTCCAGATCTCCACACACACACAGCTCCCAAACTTAGGATGTTGCTTCCCATTTAGCAGAACTTCCTGGAATCCTGGGATGGGTTGGAAGGAGCTCAAAGCTCATCCAGTTCCACCCAGGGACACTTCCCACCAGTCCTGGTGGCTCCAAGTCCCATCCAACCTGACCTGGGACACTCCCAGGGATGGAGAATCCTCTGGGAGATCCATCCCAGTTCCTCAGCCCCTCCCAGGGAGGAATTCCTGCCCAAAATCCCATCTAAATCTCCCATTTTTCCAGTTAGAAAACATTCCATCTCCTCCTGTCCCTCCATGCCTTGTCCCAAGTCCTTCTCCAGCTCTCCTGGAGCCTCCAGTGAAAGAAAATGACTTCTGAAGGTCATTTCCATCTTGAGCTGTTCCATAACTCCATGAAAATAAACAGGACAAGCTGCTCAAGCCTCGAATGATTGAGGGAAAACCCATGGAATGACGGAATCCCAGGATGGGTTGGGGTGGAAAGAGGTTAAATCCCATCCCACCCCATCCCATGAGACACTTCCCACCAGCCCTGGTGGCTCCATCCTCATCCAACCTGGTCTGGGACATTCCCAGGGTTGGGGCATATCCAGGGATGAATCCATTGGGATGGAGACACAGCCCAGGGATGGATCCATTGGGATGGGAGACACACTCCAGGGATGGATCCACTGGGATGGGAGACACATTCCAGGCCCAACCCCAGGGATGGATCCATTGGGATGGGGACACATTCCAGGGATGGATCCATCTGGGCTGGGAGACAGAGCCCAGGGATGGATCCATTGGGAAGGGATACAGAGCCCAGGGATGGATCCATTGGGATGGAGACACATTCCAGGCCAAAGGAGTTGACACTTCCCAAGCACATCCGAAAGCTCCAGGAGCCTTGGACAGGTGGGAAGAGCCAGGAATGAGCTCCTGTCTCCCTCTGCTGGACACTGAGGGCACAGCCCCATTCCTTCCCTCCAAATTCCCGACGGGAATTCCCGCAGGGAAACGGCCCCGACCCCTTAATTTCCCTAATCCAGCACTCCAGGACAGCGGGAAAAGGAATTCCTTGGGATCTGGGCCAAGCCAAATGGTCTAACTCCCTAAATTTCCTGCAGGATCCAACCCAACTGTGCCTCAGTTTCCCCCGGGGATTGTTGCCTGAGCTGGGACGGATTTGAGGGAGGGATAATCCAGTTTTCCTAATCCAAAACTCCAGGAAAAAGCAGGAAAAGGAATTCCCTGAGATCTAGGCCAAGCCAAAGGCCCTAACTCCCTAAATTTCCTGTGGGATCCAACCCACCTGTGCCTCAGTTTCCCCTGGGGGTTGTTCCCTGAGCTGGGACAGGGAGAATTTAGCTTTCCCTCTGGAATACTCCAGGACACAGAGCAGGAGAAGGAATTCCCAGGGATCTGAGCACAGCCAAGGCTGGAATTTCCCTTTCCTACAGGATCCAGCAGTGAAACCTCCAGGCCAGAGCTGAGACTCCACCAAACCCAAGAAACTCCAGGAGGGACCTCTCCCTGTTCCCCTGAGCCTGGAGGACCTTCCCAACCTCACCTGGAGCACCTTGAGCTCCAATCCCCTCCATCCCAAGAACCCCAAACATCCCTTGGGAAGCTCCAGGCTCTCCCTGCTGGAGGCAAAGCCTCAGCTCAGGTGCTCAGGACACCTGGAAAAGGGTGGGACAGGAATGAGGGTGTAGGAGAAGATTCCTGAGCCCACGGGCCCATCCCAGTGGGAGGAGGAGAAGGAGGAGGAGAAAAAGGAGGAGGAGGAGGAAGAGCTCGAGTGGATTTTTATTCCCATATAAGGTGAAGTTTGGGACTTCTCCTGCCCATTCCGGGAGGGAATGGGATCAGCTGAGCCTTGCCCAGGTGTCTCCACCTCCCTGAGCCACCTCTGATCCTGCAGCTCCTGCTCCTTCCAGGCCCTGCCCAAATTCCTCGGGAGCCACAGAGCTCACCCGAAACCAAGAGGCTTTCGGGGGGAGGAGGAAAAATGGGATGCACAGGGAATCCTGGAATGGGATGAGGGGGAAAAGAGCTTAAATCCCATCCCATCCCACCCCATCCCATCCAGGGACAAATCCCACCAGCTCTGGTGGCTCCAAGTGTTGTCCAGCCTGGCCTGGAACATTCCAGGGATGGAGAATCCTCTGGGAGATCCATCCCAGCTCCTCACCATCCCATCCCACCCCATCCAGGGACAAATCCCACCAGCTCTGGTGGCTCCAAGTGTTGTCCAGCCTGGCCTGGAACATTCCAGGGATGGAGAATCCTCTGGGAGATCCATCCCAGCTCCTCACCCCCTCCCAGGGAGGAATTCCTGCCCAAAATCCCATCTAAATCTCCCATTTTTCCAGTTAGAAAACATTCCATCTCCTCCTGTCCCTCCATGCCTTGTCCCAAGTCCTTCTCCAGCTCTCCTGGAGCCTCCAGTGAAAGAAAATGACTTCTGAAGGTCATTTCCATCTTGAGCTGTTCCATAACTCCATGAAAATAAACAGGACAAGCTGCTCAAGCCTCGAATGACTCCAGAATCCTGGGATGGGTTAGGAGAGACCTCAAATCCCATCCCAGGGACACTTCCCACTTCCAGGTGGCTCCAAGCCCCATCCAACCTGGCCTGGAACATTCCAGGCATGGAGAATCCTCTGGAATATCCACCCCAGCCCCTCCCAGAGAGGAATTCCTTTCCAGTATTCCATCTAAATCTCCCCTTTTTCAGCTTGAAGCCACTGCCTCTGTCCTGCCCCTCCATCCCTTATCCCAAGTCCTTCTCCAGCTCTCCTGGAGCTCCTTCAGGTCTCCCTGGAGCTTCCCTTCTCCAGCTGAGCATTCCCAGCTCTCCCAGCCAGGATGAGAGTGCTTGGGACAGGGATATTCCCGGAGTTTTTTGGGATGGAAGGGCCATGGAGCTGAGCACTGCCAGGGCTGGCAGAGCAGGATCCTCCCTGCTCCCTCCTCTTTGATCTCCTTGGAACTTCTCCTCTCCTTTGATGTGTCATTCCTG